TTTAACAGCGATCATTCAGAAAGGCCTCAAATTGATTACTTGATCTACGCCGATGATCTCAAACTGGTCAGCAGCATCCAGACTAGGAGATACTGAGAAATCGCAAGTGATGCTCGATTCCCTGCACAGTTAGTCTGTGTAATATTCATCTTTGCATGTGTCATTACCACTACACTTCTCTTATCCGTTACACTTTTAGCTCTCGCCTCTATTCACAGACGAATAAAGCTTGATTTCCCAGGTCTTGATCCCTCACTCACTTGTCTGTCTCATCGCTCAATTATACTACAATTTATTCGTCTGTGAATCAATCTCCATGGAACGTTTGCTCAGGCCGGAACCTTTCGACGCTGATCGTAATGCTCCAGATGCACCGAAGCAATAGATTCACTGGTACCATGGCTTTTGCAACTTTTTGGACTTTACTGAAACTCACAATCCCGATAAACGGAAAATCTTGGGAAACTACATAGCCCCATCAGTCTTCGAGTATATTACTGAAGCTGTACCGGCCCTGGAAAGCGTATATATCAAGCCACATTTTAGCTGCTTGCAAACAAGAAAACTGATCTAGCGAAGATGTCTGAGCTCTCCAGTCTCCTGTTTTTCACGGTTATCCAATGCTGGAATACGGAATACCTGCTGTCATGGTATCACTAAGTTTGAATATGTTTTGATCGAGAAGGTTCACTGACGTGTATCAAAGTCTGTCTCGGTGCTGCTCGATTTATCCCCTTCGGTTTCTACGTATGAAATTCTCTCTGGACTGCTATCGTCGTGGGGATCTGATCTACGCTAAACGCATTCCAAAGGAAGAATTGTGGAACAGCTCAATATAGATTGCTCGGTACGTTGTTAGAGATGGAAATTGTTTAAACCGAGTAATTTCCACGTTCGACCCGATGTCACATTATCCACCCGGGTCGTGAACGAATGGAATACTCTCCCAGAATGCGTTATCAGTGCCCACACAAAGGGACGTTTTAAACAGCGCTTGAGCATGACTGGATTCCGCTGCTTTTGTTGCAGCTGTAACGATTCCTCAGGGAATACAGTTTAGCATCGACACGAATTATCCAGCTAGTGCATGGGAGGTGATAGAGCTGACACGGGTTTTCTCTTCTGCTTTCTACAACTATGAATTTATTACTATTAACTTATTTCGGTTGATTTTAATCGCGACCATTCATGCACACGCCTTGTACTATGGATATACTACTGAGCACTATAATGTTTTGCAAATTAGGTCTCAGTGAAATGCACCACTACTCCACTTATCCGTTTCGTTTCTTTTTCAACTATTTTGTTGTAGGTGAATGGCTGCGACTACATTAATACGATGCATGTAACACCTTTATTGTTCGGGCGTTTCATACCATGGAAGCGCTTTCCTGGCACTATTTGGGCTGGAAAACAGCGGAAAATACCCCGATTAACACACAGTCGGAAGTCCGCATTTCTCGATCATATGCTTTTGTGTGAGCAAAATCACCGTTATCTTCTGAACCCCTGTATCACTCATGAGATAGAGGCCGCGACACTTGAAGATGAGAGAGTGAGTGCCTTTTATATTGTGATGGTTTGCCCATGCCGTTAACGTTTCTCTATGATGACGTGGAAAAGGCGCATGAAGGTGGTTACCTCATGTCTACCGCTAGTCGGCTCTGATCGTCTCCCGCGTTGGGGATCACGTTCCATAGTGTACTGCAGGCTCTTTTTCATCAAATTTAACCGAAAAACCGGAACGAAACCATTTCCTTTTGAAATCGATCTCTTTGTTGAACAAATATTTATCCTTCTATTACCGCCTTAATTCTGGTGATGCACTTGTCTGTTTGCAGGAAACACGCATGCTCCATATCAGCTCGTGTCCAATAGTCCTCCTGATCCCATTGTATTTGGAGCCTGTAGGGATTTTTCTTCCGCATTCCATCAGATTCACAAACGTTTGGGATATTCAGCGGCTGGTGCGATGACCACTGATAATGTTCGCAGGCAGATGCTCCGGCGTAGTGCACGGTGGCTGAGGTACTTCTGCACTAAAACTTGATGTCTGGAGTAAGTGAGCGAAAACCCGGTGGTTAGGGCATCTTGGAAGTTTTGCTTGATTGCGAATCGAGATAACTTCTCCACTGCTAGTTGAGAGAAGCGTTTGACGCGCTCCCCGGGGAAGTTCATGAAAAGTCTGCACCGAACCAGGGCATGATCAGAGTCGATGCGTTTATTCCAGAAAGAGTGTCAATCCAGGGCGGAAATTTGTGGCATTGGTATGTTTGAGCCCTTTGCCGGCCAGCTATCGGTGGACGCCGGTTGTACCTGAACATGCTGCTGCTAAGAAGCAGCTGGCGCTCGGCACACAGCTGCAACAAACCCTTGTCCGTACGTTCATATTTGGGCCCAAACTTGCCACCTAGCTGAGGTTCTGAGGGTTCAGACGACCTATTTGCGCATTTTCATCCGGACTGCCAGCTTTGCGAAGGAACGTGTTGAGTTCGCAGGAAAAAGGTATCCTTGGTCTTTTCAAAGACGTATTCGGTAGGAACCTAAACAAAAATAATTAGACAGCGTTTTACGTTGTTACGCTCGTTAATATTGGTTGTTATTAAGTGGGCTGCACACGAACGGCCACTGACTGGGATACAATCGACCAATGATGGTTCAGCCTTTGGACTACCGACGATGCACATACAAACTGACTTGTGGTTTATGCGCCAAAATCCCTGGATACCTTTTAGTAAATAAGGTTTGTTCTCGATAGTGCAAGACACCACTGTTTCGGCATAATCATGGTGGTTCGGTCATGTACATAACGAATCAAAAGCTGATAAGAGAAATTCAAAAATTGCTCGATCCTTGTCACCTGGAGAGGCAGAAATGGTACTTGAAAGAACCGGAGTGAAATGGTTGTTTACCGATAGGACGAGATATACATTGTGTAGCATGGCACGATCTCTAACCAAGTGTGGTTGCATCGAATATGAGCGTACTCAGTGAAGACCAAAAAGATATTGGAAGGGTAATCTGGATAGGTTGGATCTTGTTTTGCAGTAATCATGTGGATATGAATTGAATTGGCAGACAAATTACAGGTTGTTTTTGAGGTGATCTTTGCCGCTTCTCTGTGGCCTGTTATAAAGTTCTCGCAGATGTTTTAACGGGTCCTCGACGAGCACATAACCTCTCGGAAATACCACGACATGTCACGAGGTTGGAAACAGCAGGAGAAGTTTAGTATGTGTCCGGTCGAGAGTTCCGATGGCTTCTGTGTCAAGGGCGTACGTGGGTCGTAATTGACCGAGGGGGCCAGACACGAACTTATAATCCGTAACGAAAGAGCATGCCAGACGCATTTAGTTCGATTACTGTGTTTGGATCATTGATCCTGTTTCAGATGCGCAACACAAATTGACACACTTCATGTGTGCAAGTTCAGATATATGGCCTCTCTACTGTCAGGATAGCGTGTCTGGGTAAGGGACTATTGCTAACAAGTCCAAAAGGGTACTGCTGGTATGTAACTGCAGATAGTAGAATTACAGTAGTACTGCAACTTCTCTGAATTAAGCCAGGAGTTTCTTTAAGAATTTCATAGAGCCATTTCTATTCCGAAATTTTAAAGCGAGTACGCACAACATTTCAGTGGGATAACCTGAGAAGACACGCAATAATCTGAATTCAGATTATCCCGCTCAAGTGCTGTTCGTTCTTGCTCTCTAAAACTAGGAGTCTTAGACGCCAATCGCTACGAGACTGGACTTCAGTGTTTTGCAATGGTTTGTGTGCCTTGACGACTGCTTGATCTATGCTGGTGTTGCTCTTTTGCACCTTTGGAGCTACTCATACTAGTTTGTTAAGTGGTTAGAGGCCAGGCTGACTCAGTCTCTTGGCCTTCCACGTTGGATGTTGGAGTGAGGGTGGCTCCTTGCTATATTACACGGGCTCTCTGTAGCCTAGTGCCAAAATCCCGCTGCATTGCGATAAAGCTTTTGAACCAACGGCTTTGATTGTGAATCCGAGATCTAGGTCTGGGTAGTCTGACAGTATGCTGCCCACCTAGTACGAAGAGTTGTTCTTACAATTTCTTAACGCTCTAGACACCACAGAGATAATTAACGGCATCCTCTCTGCTGCGTCGAATAAAGCGGATAAGGGTGGGAGTGCTACTGCTCGGACCCTTCCGTCTTTTTATTCTTCCGCTTGCACTTTCATCCGTATCATCCTCTTCCAGCTTTAATTTTATCTCTGTTTTCACCCCCGTATTCTTGGCCCTCCCCTTCTTGCTTATATAGTCAAATGTCTTCTACTTGCAACTCATCCAATCGGAGGGCGTCGCTCTGGTCTAGTCGACAAGTCCATGTTCAACCCAGCGAACGTCACTTAATCCGTTTCTGTTTGAATCACTTGATCCTCCCTAATTCTGTCACACCTCATCGTGCTCACTTTGTCGCAAACTGGCCATCAGGCAGCCCTTTCACGGACACTAGGCAACCTATTTATCGGAAACGTTCTTGAAAATCACGAGTTCTGTGCTGACCCCGCGATCCTCTTCTTGTGCCACTTGCGGCAAATTTTCCTTGTCTTTATCTAGAGGCGAACCATCTTCAAAGTAACTATCTTGTTTTATAATCTGACGGCGCGGGTTCGAGCCTGAGTAGGGTCATGGCGACCGTCGCAGTATCCTTAGCCCGTGTGCGACCGGTGGTGGTTGCGCGGCAGCAGAGCGTCAGTACTGCATACCGGTGTAATGCTGATGCCAAGCCTGTGTAAGCGCTCCTCTGATCGATCGGATCCCAATCATCATCCGTCGCAAGGAGACTGGACCTTAACGTGGTACGACGGTTTGCGTACCTCTTTGACTCATTAAGCTATACTGGGTGGTGCCTCCGGGCACCTTGAGAGCTACTTCTACCAGATTGGTTGATGGTGAGGTCAGACAAACTCCGTTTCCTGGTCCTCCAGGTTGAGGGTTTGAAATGGGATGGCGTCCATTTCTATAAAGCTAAATTATTGTTTCCTCCCCGCTGTCTTGCGGACAGGCGTTTGAGCCAAAGGCTTTGGATGAGGACCCTAATCGTCCTGTCTATGTCTGGGCGCTCTGGCAGTATCTCAGCCCACATGCAACCATGACATTTACTTCAAACACAAACTTCATCCTGCATCGGCCGTCGCGCAGATTATCAAGGATCGCCTTATCTGCTGCATACAGCAGGGCGGATAAGCGAAAACATGCTACTGCTGGCGCCTCCTTTCTTTTCCTCCTGTTTCTCTTACTCCCATCCGGACTCCCATTACTAACCTTCCATCTATAATTCCCAGTTTAATTGACAGCAACCGAAGTGCCACTGGAGTAGAACCATCTGCAGCCACCTTCTCGCGATACGCGCCGGACGCCTATCGGCAACAGTCCTTATAAGGCTACGCTGTCCCGTTTCCATGGCGACGTTCGACGTTCGCACTCTAAGACAAATAGGTCAACAGGCTGCACTCGCACGCACCTTGGACACACTGGGATCAATGACCTTAATGTGGCTTTTGAATTAACTGCACCCGGATTTTCTTCTGGTTATTGGTTGCAGGCATCCGGAGACGTCGATGCAGCCCTCACGAGTCAAGCTGGTGTAGGTATCATTCTAAGCTCCAAGGCTGAGGCATGGTTGGTTGATTGGATTCCGGTGAACAGCCGTTTATGTGTAGCCCGTTTGACGACATCAACTAAGGATGATTCATGAAGTAGTACAAAACGCTGTTTGTTTGTGATTTCTGTTTATGCTCCCACCGACTGCAGTTCAAAAGCTTTCAAGCACACATTCTCTCACGAACTGGACGCGCTACTACGCAGTGCTACTAGTTAAGATATTATAGTACTTGCAGGGGATATGAACGCACAAGTAGGGCGTCTGAGCTCTTCTGAAGCCCAGCTGGGTGGTAATTATGGGCTTAACTGAACGGACTAACGGCGGCGAGCGTCTCTTACAGCTGTGTGCGGTACACCAGTTGTTTCTTAGTACCAACGCTTTTAGACATAGTGGGCGCCGAAACGACATTTGGCGTCCTCCTGTAGCTGACCGGCGATGGACCCAAATTGACCACATAACCGTAAGTTGCAGGTGTGTGATATTATCCTGAATTGCTGCTCGTACTGGATTAGCTGCCTTGACTCTGATCATGACTTGGTACGCTGGCGTTTCTCCATGAACTTTACCAGGAGGCGCACCAAGCGTCTTCTCTGATTGGCAACTGGGAAATTGTCTCAGCCCTCGGTCAGACGAACCTATCAAGACGCACTGCATACCGAACTTTCACTGTCTTGTTCTAATGACACTGAGCTCCAGTGGAATATGATCTCGGCCGCCATGCACGACGCACAAGCATCTGGTTGTGGCACTATCAATCGTCACTGCGCCAGTCACTGGATATCCGAGAGGTCGGTGAACGTGTTGAAATCTAGAAGAAACTTCCAGGCTGGCTCTGAGCACAATGTGACCAGACGGGTTATTAGGCGCGTATTAAAGCGGAGCTTACGTGCTGACAAGGAAGCCTGGTGGACCAGTAGAA